TTTACCATATTATTATGCTTTTATCCAGATAAAACCAGATGTTTGTAGTCTTGTATTTCAATTTCCATATTGCTACTGCTAGATTGCAATGGTTAAGAGGAACTGTAACAGCACTTTAACCTCCAACTTGGCACACATTCCAGATATATGAGTTCTGGCTGTGCAGGAAGCAAGAGTAACCTGCTGGGTGGTTTCCACCAAGGAACAGACTTCTTGACGTTTTTCTACCTCAGAGATAGCACAGGGAAAGTCTGATATATAAAATTCTCCTTACTAGCCACTCAGGAGAATCTTATCACAGTTTACAGGCTGAATACAGCTTGGCATGTGATAACTTTCTTTAATGTGTATATAAACTCATTTTATATTATGTTACTATAAACAAATATTCTTTGAAATGAGTCTACAAAAATTTTCATAAATGGATCCTGAAAATATCTAAGTGAGATACTTAATGCTAAGGGCACATTTAACATAAGAAGATTTACATAATGCTTCCTTTGATGGCCAGAGGGTCTACTGAACATCTTCACCGTGGTATAAAATAACTGAACAATCATTCAGGTGAAGGTGTATACATTGAGAAGCTCAACTCATTCCAGCATTCACTGGTCTTTGGGATTTGAGGTGACATACAACAGTTGCCATGAGGTCGGTGGTCTGAAGAAGGACACTTCATTGGCTTGCTGTTTCGTTTGCTTTAAAGAATAAACTGAACTTTACTTTGAGGATGAAGCTTCCACGTTATTGCCACTGTCAAGTCAAATTTTAACTCCTGAATACATACCCTGTGGGGCTGGCATGCAGATACAGAGAAATCTTGTGGTCTGTAGGCTCTGCTGAAGATAGTGGATGCTGCTCTGTACCTGCTGCATACCACTGCAGCTCAGCAGGTTTTCCACCTCTGCCTTGATTCACATCAAGCTATTATGCCTCATATTTTTAAACATGCTTTTAAAATGTGCAGCTACCAAGCTGGCACTTATTGGATATGCTAGCATGCAATTCTTTGCTGTGTATGGACTTCTGTTTCTAACATTGATTCTGGTCCCTTTTTAGATTTTTTTCTTATTATATGCATAACACTCAAATCTGGCACAAACTCTACGTGACAAAAAGTAAATACTGTTTTTTGTATTTTCTGTGCACTTCAAGGAAAGAAGGTAACTGCTTGGATACACGTACATGTAGAAAGAACTAGACCTGGATACAGTGTTTTGTCTGTATTAAGTAATTTTCAATTTTCACTATTTCTGATGTATTAATAGAACTGCATTAACTCCCTCCCATGCTTATTTTAATGTCCTAGCTACCTATAGTTACTAAAAACCTATTCAAATCACATTTTAAAACATTTTTAAATGAGTTTTTCAATATTCATTAAAATGTAGTTTCTTCTTCTCTGAAATGAAAAAAACCAAGTCATTTAAACTCTGTAGCTGTTTTCCTTCCCTACTGGCTTCAGATAAATATATATTAACATGTACAAAACCAGAAAAACGAAAAGGCGTGTATTTGTACAAGATGAATCTACGTCCATATAGAACTGAGAAAAGCGGGGATAATACTACTACACTTTCTTAATGTATCAGTGAAGAACATCCATTCAAATACTATGGCTTGAGAAATACTACGGCTAGAGAAAGCCAGACATAGTAGTCAAGTAAAAATAATTCAGAGAAGAATTCTGTTCGGACTGTGAAAATGACACTTCCCATAAATTCTTTACACTTTGACACACCAGGACTGAGTTAAAGCCAAAAAAGCATCTGAGTCTTGCTTTGAATACCAGTTGATTGACTGCTGTTATAAACCATTTCATGGGACTCATATTCAAAAGACAGCTGAAAGACTGACTGTCTCATGTTAGCATTCTGAGATGACAGTAAGAAGACCAAGTTCAAGAAGAGAGATTTAAAGAAATGTTTTGAAAAAACATTGTCAATATCTATATACGCTACTAAACAGCTTTTATTTGTAATGAGTTACTTACAATATTCCTTAATCAGATACATATTCCAAATTATTCTGAAGTATATTTGTGAATAGTGGAGCCTCAATTACACCTAAATTAAAAATTTTATACTATGCTAAATAATCTTGTAATTTCTGTAAGCATTTGGATGCAAATAAATAATATTTGTATGTACAAACACGTACATAAGACTTTAGATATATAGTTATATACAGAGACATAAACATAACTACAAGACATACTTAACACAAGGTAATAAATATGATAAAATATTTAGATAGACAGACAGACAGATAGGTAGATAAATATGTAAAAATATATCTCACTAATTTTGACTGATCTGGATTTTGCAATAATGTTTTCACTAATTTAAACAGACATCCTACACTTTTTATTCCTCTGTACTGCTTTTGATTTGTTTTGTAACAACCTACCTAAGCTAAATAAAGATGGCCCTAAGCGCAAACAAAAACATTAACAGCAATTAGCATTTGCAAAGTGCCTGACATGTTTAAATCATTGGATAAGTATTTAATCATAAGTCCTCAAAACAGTCCTCAAGACCATTGAGCACTTCCACCACCAATGCTGCAGCATAGGGAAACAAGTTACCACATGGCAGAAACCAACTCATCACCAAAGCCCTACAGAGAGTCCCGGAACCAGCACTAACTTTTAATAGCGGTATTTGTGTAAAGCTAGATCAAACAACAGGAATTTAGAAGTAGTACTAACTGTTCATAAACACTCTTTGTCTCCAACATAGTGTTAGTTTTATAGCATTAAGAATGAAACAATCCAGAGCTTGAAAAGTGGCTGAAAAAGAGCAGATGAGGCACCAGGTACCACCTGCCTATTAACCAGGTATAGTTTTTAGGAAGCTGAAAAAAACATGTGCTTAGGAAAAACTGAGTATAATGCATTATTCACATGTATTTCTGTCAATTATAAGCCTTTGAAAGTTGGAGCTTTCCATCAAAATTAGCTCAACTAGAAGAGGTGCCTGGATCAGAAGTTTTACTTTAATTTACACTCATCATATCTTTAAAGGTTTCGCAGAACTTGGGGATGGACACGATATCTTCATAAAATCTTTATCTTCTTGAAATTTCTTAGTCCTTAGCAATGTAACTTCGTAACAAACAGAAGTTTTCATCATTTTGAGATTTCTTGGTCCTTAAGGATATATCTTCGTAACAAACAGAAGCTTTCATTTTTTATAAGACTCCTTATTACTTAAGGATGAAGACAGGGCTTTCCTTTAAAACTGTCCACATGAGAAAAGATTCCAGTGAAGATGTTTCTATTCAGCTAGTTGGGATGGCAACAGTCTTGGAAGATCTCCCTGATGTTGCATGTTTTGTTTGTTCTTTCTGAAGATATGATCATTCCTTGGTCATGAATATTTTCATTACTAAGGCTAGCATGCTTTGGAGTGGGACACGTTGGATCCACAGAATAATTTACTTGTTGGAATGATTTCTGGTCACTTGTTACCAGAAATCTGGAAAATGTTGCAAGGTATATGAGAACAAATTTATCATAATCTTTAAGTGAGCATTTTATTGTTGAGACTCCTTGTAAAAGATTTTTCGTATTTCTTTCCTATTATTAGAGGATCCATACAAGAACAGATGTTCTCTTTTCCTTAAGCAGGTCAAAGTTAAGACTTTGCTTTATTAAGATTTATTAAGACCATTCATACTCTTGTTGAGATCAAGCTGTTGCTCATTGACATCGTGCCAAATAGAGTTTTATTCTATTTCTAAATTTCTATTTCTAAAGAAAAAAGAAAAAGTTAAGTCTTCACATGAACTTTTTCTATGAATTTCAGTATCCCATGTCTTCCAACAGCACTACATTCAACCTTTGACAAGACTGCAGCAAAAAAAAAAATATCCCAAAACTATAAAAAACAAGTTGTACCAGTACAAAGAAGAAAAAATATAACCGAACTCCAAAGACCTTGACCCGTTCCCTGCTATAAACCTGGCTTTTGAGACTCACCTCTAACATGACATATATAAGTAATCATCCTAATTAGGACAGGTGAAAAAAAAAAACAATTAAAATAAAAAACTTTGTATTTTGCTGTATTACTACTTGATCATCTTCCCATGTCATCTGATTTCCTAAAGATCTGCAGGTATAGGAATGGTTTTTTAAAGATATTCCCAACACATCACACAGTACATTCCTAGATTTAAAGGGGTGACTACATTTAAGAAAAAATCCTCAACATTCTCTAGTTATTCCACTTAGAGTACTTTAACTCATGTTCTTAATATTACTAATAGCAGCCCTAAGATCCATTATCAGCTGCTGGGAACTAACCATCACAGAGAGGTTTATTGTACAAGCCATTATCCCATAGTCTCTCAGTCCACAGACCTTCCATGTGTAGTTCCTTCACCTGAAGTTCCAGCTATACAAAGTTTGTGGCAGAAACGAGAAGACAAGCCTAGAAGCTTCTGTTCAGATTAAGCAGGAGGATACGACTGTGACTTCTAGCATTGTAATGATCTATGCAAGGTATCTGTACAATTTTTAAAGTCTTGATGGTATTCTGAATAGTTATTACGAAATCTGTTGTACCACTGAAATTCTCTCTGTATATGAATATAGTCCAAGTAAGGTCACATCTCTGCCAAACCAGAGACATTTCATTTAGCTTTAATTATCTATAATTACTATGTCTAATCTAACTCAGGCACACAGGCTGTCTTTATATAGTCAACAGAGAGATGAGCAGTTCTGGAGAGTGATAGATCTCACTCTTCAACACTCATTTTAGGATCAGAAATGGAACTGGATTCTGGGGATGGATAGTTGAAAATAAACTTCAGCTGTCAGCAAGAAACACTGCACAGTGTTCCTGGAGAGCCAGGATTGAAGGACAGACTTCTGTCAGACTCCATGAATGTTATTACAAGAATCACCTAACGTACACTCCAGAAAAAATGGCTATTTAGGCATGTAAGGTATAGATAAAATTGATATAAGAGCAAAATGAAGATGTACTTACCAAAAACAATAGAGGACTCACAGTAGTAGTAACCGTTTGGTTGCTTTTTTTTCAACATGGAGCAAAGATCTAGGCGGTGCAGTATCTCATCTCCAAAATAATGGTTTTTAAAATCTTCATACAAGCTTGAGTCAATTTTTTTCACCTTTAAGTAGCAACATAAAATTCAATTAGGCATTCTACTAGAAGACTAAATTTTCATATTTAATTCTTACAGTTTTCATTTTAACCAGACATATAGTTACGATGGAAAACTACTTCAGGATGCAAAAGGAATACTGAAACAATAATGTGCCATATTTTCTGTTTTAGTTAAGCACCGTCTGCTGCAAAACTTAAACAAGGAAATAAAAGTGTCATTACATCTCCTTTCTACCCCTCCCTCCTCAGTCCTAAAAGAAACAAATGGACATACACAATGCTACAACTGCTTTAAATTCCAATGGTTTGCCACAGTCTTCATGGAACATGTAACTGGAAATTATTCTTGCTGTCATCATGCTACATCTTGCTGTCATAGGCATGCTACTACAACGAAGAATCGCGAATCTTTGTCAAGGGCAGTTTTCTGGGTTTTTAAAATCACCAAGTAGGAAAATGTCATTGTATTCAACCTGCTCTAAGCTTTATATCTCAGCAAATCTAAAAACTTAGAGTGATTTACAATATCACTATCATCATGTAGTTTTGCGTACATGGAGTGGAACATAATAAATATTCTATTAAGCTGTTTTCAGAAAACCTCATTTCAGTAGTTATTTTAAGAGTTTAGAGTTCCTCATTCCATCTTATTTTCAATAAAAATAAATGATCTCTGTAGAAATTAAATATATTCTCCTTCAATACACCTCTAAATAATGCTGTTTGCTTTTTAAAAATCGTTACTATACGCTAAGGGATATTAGGAGTGACCACTGTCTCCAGCAGCTCCAGCCCAGGGCTCCCTACTGCCTGGCTGCTGGAGCCCAGCCTGGTGCCCTGAGGACCCAGGATGGATACGCCTGCTGCTTTCACATCTCGGAGACACACACACATGCTCAGAGGACATGGACATGGCTGGCTACACAGGCTGCCACAGGTAAGGCACAGCCTTCAACAGCACCCACATATAGGGCTCACATAAGACACAAGCGCAGATAGCCCCCACACTAGTGCAGGCACGCGCACAAATGTCTCCAGGTTCACAAGCACATGAGCATTTGTGCATCCCCCCCAAACACAGACCTGGCTCCCCCGCCCAGATCCTGGGCCCCCATGGGTTCCCACTTGCCAACTGGTCTGGCCTGAGGTTTTGGTAGTGCCCACATCCCTCACACACAAAGATTTGGCAAAGGTTTGGCAAAGATACAGACATTTGCCCCCAGCAGCCAGCACCCCCCACACCAACTCACTCAGACAAGTGTGCCCACCAGCCCCTTTTACATCCCTTTCTGTCCACTCCTCCTTTGTTCCTCCGCATCCCCTTCCCCTGAACATCCCACATCCCACCAACCCCCCCAACACCCTGGACCCTCAGCTTCACATCCCCGATAGCTGCAAAGTCCCAGTTTGCCTGCAGTTTCTTGATAACCCATCAGTTAGTGTGACTGACAAGGTTTGTTTCTTGGTTGTGTGTGTTATGTTTGGCAGGTTTGTGTCTCTGTATGTTTTGTTTATGGCTTCCCCCTTTCCCTTACCATGCCATTTGACAAGGTCCTCAACCAGACAATCCTACTGAAATAAACATCCCCACACTCCACATGCTCTCATCAATCTGTGTGACTGACCAGCTTTGGCTCTTGCTGCTGCCTCCCTTATCGTTTGCTGGTCTGGTTTGTGTCTCTGTAGGTGTTGTTTAGAGACTCCTCCTTTTCTTATTATCCCCTTCTGCACTGAAAAGGTCCCTAAAGGGGAGAGATGCTGTCTCCTTCCTCACACCCTCACACTATACCCGTTCATCTGAGCATCACACTCACACATTTCTTGTGGTGCTTCATTCACAATTACTCTTATGCAAGATGGGCTCAGTGTTGGTATGTCTACCGAAATTTTACTTATGTACAAAATTACTGACTGCAGAAGCACTTTGCTTGAGTGAGTACCTGCACATTTGGTTCTCTAAAGTCTAATTTAGAGACTTGTGCCCTTTAGTAAATTAGACTTTTGGTCCCATAAAATGTAATTTAGTGAAGGTCAAAAATGTCTTCCCATTTCCTTAATCTCTGAAACGATGACATCTAGTGGCAGATGCTTTTCATTTCGGGTACACGACCTCCTTGGAAGTCTTCATTTATTCCATCCTGATTGTCATTTTTTAAAATTTTGTATTCTATGGCTAGATTAGTCCTTATGTACTGAGGTTATTTTGAAATTAAATCATCATTCTTTGCTTTTTGGATGACAGTTCTTTGAAATACATTTAGACATCAATCAGTAATAAAAAAGGACCTTTTCAGCCAGGAGAACACTTGTCAAATGTGAAGCCATGAGTACTCATGGAATGAAATGAGGAAAAAATCAAAATCACCTCTTCACGCTCCAATAGAAAAATAGCATTTACAAGAGGTTGGGATGTTGCCTGTCAAAAACAGATTGGTAAGGTGTGAATCAAATGTTGAATGCTCAGGAATTGTGTTATGCTTGTGATGTACTACTGAAAGGGAGTTGGAAAAGCAGCCATGGGAAAACTGTATGATATTTTTAATAACTTGGAGCAATTTCTGGGGTGCTGTTTGCAATGGTTGCAATTAGATGTGAAAGGATGAAACAACACAGGTGCATGGGAAGGCCACGGTTCATTTCTTAATTGAAAGGGTCTGGACAGTGGAAATGAGAGACAGTTGTTCCCACGTGGGAAAGTTATAGATGCTGATTATAGAGATATGCTATAATTGGGGGGAAGGGGAGAGTACTTGAGAGGTGATTTTGAAGCATTTGGTGCCAGAAGTGGAGGAGGAAGACACGTGCCTCTTGGGGAAGTGCTGTAACAAATGGATGCCTGTAAAGGGACATGGCTGTGTAACATGTACTTGGAGAGGTGTTATGTGAGGAGCTCTTGCAAGCCTGGCAGGGCATCAAGGTGACAGCATTTGGTAGCCCTGTCATGTCTGTGCCTCCTCTGCATGCAGGGGGGGAAGGTGCAGCCCGCTGTCCCCAGCCTGCAGTTAAACCCGCCAGCTGCATGGAGTCCCTGTGGCTGCTGTCCGCAGGTGGCCGGGCAGTGCTTGCCCCGTTGTGGGACCAGGGGCAGGAAGGCTTAAGTAGTGACAGGCCTTAACACGGCTGCAAAGCAGGGCACCCAACGCCCCGGCAAGCAGCTTCACTTCCCATGTACCAAGCCCCACAACCAAATTGCTCATCTCCCAGCATCACGCGTCCAGGTTTCTGACCCCCGACGAGAGGGGTGCTTCCATTCAGCCGGGAGGCCGCAAGGGAGGCTGAGGGTTCATTCCCCGCCGGGAAAGGCAGCGGGGAGGGGCCGGCGTTTAACGGCAGCGCGGCGGGGGCGGGATGGCGGCCGCGGCCGGGCTGCGGAGACGGGGTTTAGCGCCACAGCGCGGCGCCTTCCTGACAGGAGCCGGCGGCGGGGAGGCCTGAGCGCCGGGAGCGCCAAGCACCGGCCCGGGGAGGGAGGGGAAACGGGTCGAAGTAAAACTTTTGGACTGCAAGGAGACGCAGCAGCCGAAACGAGCTGCCCGCCCGTGGGGAGGAGGGTGAGTAGAGGGGGGAAGAAGTGGGAGAGGGTTGGAAGTGCGCTGCTGACAGCGACTGTGGACTCTGTAGGGGAAACTGGTATGGTTGATCCCTCCAGCAGTACCTCATGTACTTGTATAGAAACCAGTACTATGTGATGGTGCTGCATAAATACAGGGGTAGGACCCTGAAACGATGACCGGTTTATGTGGCTGCATTGTTGTGAGGAGCCGTGGTCCGTGCACGTGGGTGTCCCATACCTCTGAGGGAGGATGATTTTGTAAGTGTATATACATGTGTGCATGTACAGTACTGTATTTATGGGTATTTGGGCATACATATATGCTTAATAAAATAAAGGACACAAAGAAGAACTGTAGAACTATTCCAACGTTGCTGGCTGTTGGCTCAGTTACACCTTGCTTGGAAGCAAGATGGCAGCTGTAATTATTGGCTGCATTTTTTCACTTGCGCAGGTAACACGTATCTTTAATTCCTGGTAGCATCTTATTTTCTATGGGGTTGGAAGAGTGAGTGTTAACCTGCTGTTGTCAATTACAGTTACTTCTCAGAACTCTTTGGATGAGTTGTGAATAAAAATATCTTTCTCCAACAGAATGAGTGCCATATCAGCCACAAGTTGTGCCTTGCCACCACCCCTTGGGCCTGAACAAGAGGATGAAGAGTGCTCTGAGACACACATGTCTGTTTTGTGGTATGCAGGGCAGCTTGCAATTACTTATTATGATACAGAAGATTGCTCAGTCTACTTCATGCCTGACATTCCTGATAATGAAGACCTTAAGCTACTGCAAATGGTGATTGGGGAAGTTAATCCTCAATGTATAGTGACCAGTGCAAAACAGGACCAGAATATTGCCAAATTCCTGACCGGCCTAACAGCTGCTGCTGGTGATAAAGATATAAGAAAACCAGAAATTGTCCTGTTTCCTAACATAGATTTTGGCCTGGAAGTCAGCAAGCAACGGATCCTATCTAGGCAATTTCCATTTATCCCTTCTCATATGACTGCAACAGAGAAAGTTCTCTACTTGTCCTCAATCATCCCTTTTGAGAGCCCGCTCATGATACGAGCCCTAGGGGGACTCCTTAAGTTTCTCGACAGGAGAAGGGTTGGAGTTGAGCTTGAAGAAAGCACTGTTGCAGTGCCTATTCTGTCCTTTAAAAAGTTTGTGCTGTCAGATATTGTGCATATGGACCAGGACACTTACTGTGTCCTGCAGATATTTAAAAGTGATATCCATCCTTCTGTGTACAAGCTGTCGAGTGGATTAAAAGAAGGATTCAGTTTATATGGAATTTTAAACCGTTGCAGGTGCAAATGGGGAGAAAAACTGCTGAGGCTGTGGCTCACACGACCTACTCGGAATTTGACAGAGCTGAACAAACGGCTAGATGTTATCCACTTCTTCCTGCTGGCTCAGAACCATGAAACAGTCCTCACTCTTCAAG